TGTTCCATCTCTGCCCTAAGCCCTTCCAAAACCCTCACCCAAAGCCCCCAACACAAACCCCTGCCCAGGCACCCACCCAAGGTCTGTCTGTGCTCGCTGCTCTGAGCCCTGCAAGGACACCCCACCCTTGGGAAGTGTTTTTTGGGCCGTCTCAGGGGCAAGGTGGAGCTTGGGGCTCTGACAGCCCTGCCCAGCACCCCACGCTCCCCCAGGCAGGCGGTTGCACTTCGCTGCATAGTATTTATTCATTATATCAGAAAAGAAAACCTCATTAAATTAGTCCAGGACTCTGCTGGCTGCTCCCAGGCGGGGACACCCAGTGCCGGGGGGTGGCTGGGGTGGGGATCCAGCATTTCCTCATTTCACAGTGATGGGAGAAGGGGCAGAGACGCCGTCCTGCGGGCCGGGCCGGGCCGGCAGCACCCTTCAGACCTCCACCTTCTTCTTCATCTCCATGCGGTAAATGATCTGGTAGCCATCATCCCAGGCGTAGATCTGCCTCTCGCGGGGGCTGTACTTGAGGCTGGCGTGGGAGCCGTAGCGCTTGGGGAAATAGACCAGGGAGGCGTCCTCGGGGGCCAGCGTGCCGCTGACGTCGAAGACGCACTGGACGCGGGCGCGGCTGGGCAGGCGCGTGTTGTACACCACGTGCAGCGCCCCGCACACCACGAAGGCGCCCTCGGCGTTCTCCCGCGGGCACGGCGTGTCCCACATCTGCTCGATGTCCAGCGAGGCGGGGTCCAGCTTGGCCAGGCACATGTTCTTCTCGTCCTCCTTGGTGGCGTAGATGGCCCAGAGCCCCTCCTCGTCCGCCGACACCTCGATGTAGGTGGAGGGGGAGAGGCCGAAGACGGGGATCTGCTCCTCGGCCGGGAACACCGAGCTGTCCACCACCGTCTTGTTGGCCAGGTTGAACTTGATCACCTGGAAGGACAGGCCCTGCTGGCGGATGTAGTAGAGGTGGCCATCGTAGACGAGGTGTCCGGTGCCCACCCAGGGGTAGGGTAGCTTGATGCGGGCGGCCTTGCGGGTGGCAGAGAAGAGGGTGAACTCCCGCATGCGGGGGAAGACGTAAACCGTGTCGTTGGCGGTGCCGTCGAACACGTAGATCTTCTCCGAGTTCCCCGCGGCGTCCTTGGTCCAGAGCCCCGAGGCACTGCCGAAACGCTTCAGGATCTTCATGGCCCTGACACTGGCAATGGTGTCACTGCAATCTGTGAGAGAGGGGTGGCTGTGAGAGCCTGGGAACAGCCAGGGACTGCTGCTGCCCCGTGCTGGGTTCTCACCCTGTCCCACCCAGACCCTCAGGCAACTGCCTTAGAAATTCACTGAAGGGGTTTAGGTGCATCCCTGGTGGCATCGAGAAGTTCCCTAGTGCACCCATGCCAAGGGCAGGGGAGCCACCCTCACCCCAGCCCTGCCCCAGAGGCTTTGGGGATGCACAGAGCTCCAGCCCGGGGCTTGGATGCAGCTCCCAGGCTGGGGAGGATGCAGGAGCTTGTGCCAGAGACATCTGATATGCCCTGCTAGGACACAATGCCCCGGCCCATGGCTAGGGGACACCTGGACTGGGGTGGGCTGGGAAGGGTCAGGGTAACCCTCAGACAGGACCATCCCCCTGGGGAGCCACAGCAGCCCCTCACCTGTGAGCTTGGTGTACTTCTCGTTCTTCCTCTGCTTGGCTGTGGCCACCTGCTTGTCCATCAGCGTCTCATCCACCTCCACGCAGGGTGGGGCGGGGTTCTGTGTCTCCAGGTAGTCTACCTCCCGCTCCAGCCGGTCCACGCGCACGGCCGCGCTCTCGGCCTCCGCCCGCATTGCCTCCCGCTCCTTCTCGGCCGCCTCCAGCATCCCCAGCACCTGGTTCTTGAAGTCCCGCAGCTCCGTGGAGTAGCGGCTGCTCTGGTCATGCCACTGTGAGATCCTCTCCTGGGGTGGCCAAGGGGACACTGAGGTCTCCAAAGCTCACAGCCCACCAGTGGCAGCTGTCCCAGCCTGCCCGGGCTGGGGGAGACCGCAGAGCCACACGGGGCTCATGGCTCTGTGTCCCATCCCACCCTTTCCCGCTCCTGTGATGCTCCCAAACAATGCTCCTGTGCTGCTTCTGCAACGTTCCCAGACCTGTGATGCCCATTCCTGCAATGTTCCAAGACCCACGATAGCCCCATTCCTGTGCTGCCCCCAGATCCACAAGGCCCTGCTCTCCTGTGACACACCCAAGATGCCCCCATGATGGTCCTGAACTGACAGAGCACCCCAGTCTCCCACGATGCTCCCAGATCATTGATGCCTTCCTTGCTGTGATGACCCTGTGAAGCTCCCAGACCTGCAATGCCCCTGCTTTCCCATGATGTTCCCAGACCTGTGATGTTCCCGTTCCTGTGATGTCCCCATGGCTCTCCCAGACCCACAATGCCCCTGCTTTCCCATGATGTTCCCATTCCCACGATATCCCCATGGTTCTCAGACCTGCCACTGCCCCTTCTTCTGTGATGTTCTCATTCCTGTAATCTCCCCATGGTTCTCCCACACCCACAATGCCCCTTCTCCTGTGATGTCCCCATGTTCTCCCAGACCAACAATGCCCCTGCTTTCCCATGATGTTGCCAGACCTGTGATGTTCCCATTCCTGTGATGTCCCCATGGTTCTCAGACCCACAATGGTCCTGCTTTTCCATGATGTTCCCAGGCCCGTGATGTTCCCGTTCCTGTGATGTCCCCATGGTTCTGATGTTCCCATTCCTGCGATGTCCCCACGGTTTTCCCATGATGTTCCCAGGCCCGTGATGTTTATGTTCCCAGACCTGTGATGTTCCCATTCCTGCGATGTCCCCACGGTTCTCAGACCCACAATGCCCCTGCTTTCCCATGATGTTCCCAGGCCCGTGATGTTCCCGTTCCTGTGATGTCCCCATGGTTCTGATGTTCCCATTCCTGCGACGTCCCCACGGTTCTCCCAGACCCTGCTATCCCTATCTGCCTGTTCCTCAGTGCTCCCACACCCATCTTGCTCCCCTGTATCCACAGCTGGGCTGTGCAGGACCCCGGCAGGGGCTGCCAGGTCTCCCCACACCCTGCTCCGTCCCCACCCCAGCTCCTGCTCACCCACCCCGCTCCCAGCCCCGCCGGCCTCCACGGAGAAGGGTTGGGATCGCCGCCACAGGGCGATTGGGGGTGCGGGGCGGGTGCGGGGCCCCGCTCGGGGCTGTACCTCCAGGAGGGTGATGCGGCGCTCCACGTACTCCATGAACTGCTGCTGCTGGGCGCGCAGGGCCGGGGCGAGCAGCGGCAGCAGCAGCAGGCAGCGCCAGGGCCCCATGGCCGGCAGCGGAGCAGCCTCCAGCTCAGTGCTCAGGAATGCTCCGGCCTCCCCAGCCCTTATTGCATCCAGATGTGCACAGGGAGGGGAGGCTGCTCCTTCCCCGCAGACCAGCCCCGGGCGCTTTAACCCCTTCGTGCCCCGCCCGGCGCGCTGCCCCCGAGCCGCGGGGATGGGGCAGGAGGCTGGGGACGGGCTGGGGACAGGAGTTTGGGGTGCGGGGAGCACCGCAGGAACCCCGAGCGAGAGGACACGTCCTCATGAGCCGTACTTTGGGGACAGCGAGGGGACACCCCTGGCTCTTTGTCCGCAGAGGTGCCCAAAGCCAGCGGCCAACCTGAGCCTCGGCCGCGTCCAGGTCTGGGGACAGGGATATCCCTGGGGACAGGGAGGGTGCCAGGGCAGCGGGTTTGGCCCCTGGGCAGGGACAGTGCCAGTGCAGAGGGTTTGTCCCCTGGGCAGGGACAGAGCCAGCTCAGCGGATTTGTCCCTGGGGATAGGGAAGGTGCCAGGCAGCAGAAGGGACAGGGATGCTGCCCCGAGGCCGTGTTTCAGATATAAAGGAGGGTATTCACGGCCCAGCAGGGCTCGGGCAGCCTGGACCAGATGTCTCCGGGCAGACACCCCACGGTGTCCGGCAGCCCCGGGATCCTGCGGGCGGATCTTGCAGGTGAAAGTCACCCTGGATCCCACCGGGAAGCTGATGGAGGGCCTGGAGTGGGTCATGGCAGGAGGGGGCCCGCAGTCACCTGCGGCAGGAGAACATGTCCTCAGGTGAGGAGCCCCTTCACTGGCCCCTTCCCTGCCCCAGGAGGGTGCTTGGCATGGCCCAGGGCTCCCCTGGGAAAGGCACCAGGCAGGGCTGGCTCTGGGACAGCACTGACCCCCAGATCCAAAGTGTGGCACCCCCAGCCCAGCCCCGGAGCAGCCAGGTGGGATCCAGGCAGGTGTCCCTGCTCCTTCCCATTCCCTGTACTCACCACGAGCCCCAGGAATGCTGAGGAGCCCCAGCACGGCCAGGAGCAGCACGGGCTGGCCAGAGACCACCCCACAGCTCGGGGGGTCGGGGGGTCCCCCCCATCCTGGTGCTCCAGCCTTCATTGCAGTGCTGTGCTCCTCTGTGCAGCCCCGCTGCCTGCCAGGGCTGGGAGGGGATGCACTGCAGGCTCCACCAAACCTCTGGAGCTGTGGAAACCTCCCCAGGACACCCACGGAGCTGAAATCTCCGTCAGGAACACGGAGAGCAGCCAGGCTGGGGACAGCTGTCATTCACAGGCTCCGGGAGAGCCCCCTGGTCCTCCTGCCCCAAGCTCCTTATTTGTGTTGCTTTGTTCCTGTTTTGTGCTGCGGCTGGCAGTGAGCACCGACCAACAATTATTGTTAGCATTTGCCCACCAAAAATTGGGATGTGGAAGATGACACCAGCTCGGATATTTGGCATGGCCAGGAACCTGTTTGAACCCAGGGATGAGGTGAGGCAGCCTTTACAATTCACTTCTTGTGAGCTGCCCTTACCCAGACAAACAGAAATCAGAGCTGGACGGACAGAAATCAGGTTTAACATTTATTGCCACCACTGTTTCCAGCAGAGTGCAAATGTACCCAAACCCCAGCTGGACCATGGCAGCAGCAGAACCTTCAGAGCCAACTCTGGGCTCATCTCAGCTTTTCTGGGCTTCACTCCTTTTTGCTTCAGCTTACCACAGTTAAGACAGTTATTTTTAAAAGCTAAATTTAATTTCTTTCTATTCTTCCTAATATGAAACTTGAAACAACTTATTAGTAAAAGAGCAAATCAAGCTTGTAGGTTAGAGCAAAACCCACTCCCTGCTCTGGCATCCAGCACAGCAAAAGCAGCCTCCCATGTACTGGTGATTATTTTTCTGGCTCCAGGCATGCAAGCATAAACCATAAAATCAGCCAGAGCCTTTTTAGAGATGCTGTGACTGCACAAACTGTGAGCTCACCAAAGGAAAGGTGAGTGTTACAGGGATCCAGTTTCATTTCAGTTTTCTAGTTCCATCTGTAGTTTTTTAATCTCCAGGAACAGTTTCTGTATTTCCAGCAGACTTTTCACTTTTTCTACAGGCATGCCGCAATCAAAGGTCGATTTAATGTAATGAACCTCTTGACACACATCAGCATCACCTTCTTTCATCTGTTAAACAGGAAAACAAACCCCAGAAAAGCCTGTGAGGATGGACTGTAGCAGACACAGAGCCACCCACAGGGGCTGCATCCTCCTCGGGACCAGAAATGAAAAGCTTTTGAGAAGTTTAAGCAGTTTTCATGTTAGAAATCAGGCAGCATCCACTCAGAAACTCTGCCAGGCTCAGAAACCTGAGGCTCTGAGCACCTGGGAAGGTTGAACCATGGCAGGGTGGAAGTGGATGATCTTTAAGACTCCCCCCAACCCAACCATTCTGTAATTTTGTGGTACTCACACACTTGGGCAGTGGTGTCCAGCTGCCATCAGGCAAGCACGTGGCTGTCCAAGCATTTTCCATCATTCCATCATCTGGAAACTGGTACCCAGGAAGGCACTCCAAGGTGACAGTCTCGTTGATCTGGTACCACTTTTTGTCACCCAAAGGGCTCTTCAGCCTTCCAAAGGGCACTCGTGGCTGTGGACACAGGACTGGAAGGAAAAGCCAGGGCAGAAGGCAGCTCAGCTAGAGGTCAGAAAGGAGTTTGGGAAGGCTGAGCCAGTGCAGAGGAACTTAAAATTGTGGAGCTGTGAAATCAAAAATACTTCTCTTCAAGAAGAAGGTGAAGGTCAGAGCAGCCCCTGTGAGGGGCTGTGAATTCCTTATGGATTTGCTGGTTTTGGCACTGTCTTGATCCAGGCATCCCCACGGTGGGGATGGACATTTGGCAATAAGGGAAAGGAAAGTCAGTGAACTCCTGACCTGTCTTAGACCTCCTTTACACACAGCTGTCAATAAAAACTCAACTATTACCTGGAAAATTCCAGCTTTGGGAAGGTTCTTTCTTCTGCAAAGAGAAGAAGGACTCAGGAAGCCCCAAGGACAGACAGAAACACCCCAAGCCCTCTGCCCTGCCCCAGGGGCCACAGGCTGAGCAGGGAGATTTTGGAAAGTGCCCCTAAATGCCCATCACATTCGCAGTAGAAGGGCACAGCTTCATTCATCCATACCACAGCTTGTTAGTGAATCACTACATCCTCCTGCCATGGGGGTTTGGGACACTGAACTGAAAGGAAAATGCACATTAAAAATCCAGGAACAGGAGGTGGAGGAGAAAATGCTCACTCACCTGGCTGGCAGGTGGGCACGGGCGGGTCCCAGGTGCCATCAGCCTGGCACTGGCTCTGGGCAGCACCACGCAGCCCGAAGCCTTCCTCACAGGAGAAGCGCAGGAGCAGCCCGTAGGGAAAGGTGAACATCTGTGGGGTCATCCTTCCCCTCTCCACCACGGGCTTGGGGCACCGAACCACTGCGGGACAGAGCAGAGCTGGCACTGGGGGCTGGGGACAGCAGAACCCGGGCAGGGCTGCTCCTCCCGACCCCCGATGACCCCCGGTGAGGAGAACCAGGGTCTGGCACTTCCACAGGGATCATCCCCCCTCCTGTGGAGGAAGCAGCATCTGCAAGCACCCTGCTCGCTTTGTTCTGAGTGCTGGCAGTGCCCCCAGCGCTGGCTCAGCCTGATGCCGTGCCCTGATGCCATGGTGACCCCAAAGCACTCACCCCTGCACTCCGGGGCAGGCCCACTCCAGGTCAGGTTCTCCCCATCCTCGGAGGTGCAGTAGAGGGACTTGTCCCCGATGAGGGACAGCCCCTCTGCACAGCTGTACTTCACTTCAGAGCCGTAGGTGAACTGCCTGAAGCCCATGCCAGAGTGCTGCCCGTTGCTGATGGTGGGAGGGGGACCACAGACTGTGAGAGTAAAGGGAAAAGTCAGGCTTTCCTCATTCCATGGGGGAGGCAGAACGCAGGGAGGTAACAGGAGAGGCAGGTTCTCTGTGTTCATGCCGAGTGTTGCTCTCCTCACAGTCCTCCTTTCCTCTGGCTAGCTTTGGCCATGGCTGTGCCAGTGCCCCCAGTGTGACCCAGCCGAGGAGCCCACCCTCGGCACAGCCCCGTCCTTATCCTCTCTCTTTTCCATCCTGCTCCTAAGCAAGGTCAGGGAATGGTAAACATCACAAACCCCTTGAAGAATCCTTTCAGAAATGCAAGTCCCATTAACCAACAGATTTCACCAGTTTTGGTGGAAGATGGAAATGCCAAAGCCCTTCACTGCTGTGGCTTGGGCACCTTCTCCTCACACCTCACACGGTTTTGTCCCTGCTGTCCCTCCCCACGGCCGGAATTCCCAGCCCTGCTGCCGCTGTCCCCACTCACCCCTGTCACAGTGGGGCACGGGGGGTCTCCACATCCCGTCAGAGGAGCACTGGACCCTGTCGCTGCCGCGGAGCATGAAGCCGTGGTCACACTGGAACTCCACCTGCACCCCAAAGCTGTACTCGGCTCTCCTGGGGCTGCTCTCTGTCCCGTGGGCGATGGCCGGGCTGGGACACTGCACCTCTGGGGGACAGCACAGCAGAGGGGAGAGCTTTGCACAGAGGCATTCCCAGCAGCCGTGCTTTCCCGAGCCAGCCGAGCTGCCAGACACCTCTAGGCAGAGCTGGCAGGCTCAGGGATGGCAATTACAGGGTAAGAAGCGCTTCTCTTGGAAGGCAGAAGGATGTGAGAGCCCTGGCATCAGCCAGAAATCGCGCTGGGGGATGGCTCGTCACTGGCTGCATCCCTGAATCCTTGTGGAGCCGCTAAATAACCAGGGCGAGCTGCAGCTTTTCCTATCCAGGCACGCCACCTTTTGAGCAGCGAAATTACTGCCAGGCAGAGCCGAAGGTGCCGCATGAAAGCCCGGCTGGGCCGGCACACGTCATTTATTAAAAAAATACGGATATTGATCTAGTACCGACATCCAACTGTGACCGACAAAGACTCTCTAACAGTTTAAAGTTAGAAAGTGTGTGTTTATTGCGACGCCGGGCAGCGTGTGGGATAGCTCCCAAATACACACCGCAATTCACAGGTGGTTACAGAGTCCTTTTATCTGTACAAGGGTTGAATACCCAAAATATAAATACATATTCTTCATTTTGGTACATCCCATTCCCCGCTTCGTATGGTAATTAGTTCAAAAGCTATTAAGCATGCGTAGTTTGTTCCTTGAAAGGGGTCTGTGGTCCCTTTCATGGGGAAGGGTCCCAAAATGAGGAAGTAAATGAAGTCTTCCTCGTTCTGACCTTTCTACCTTTAAAATGCAAATATGACAAATGAACCCTTGGTAGAACTCCCATTCCTGTCTTCAGTTGGTTTCAGAACAGAGGAGACCCACAATTGTCTTATGTTCCTAAAAGCTATTTATCAGTTTCTATATTCTTCATTATAAACCCAGCTAACCAAACATTGTGTTAACAAGCAATCAATTATTAGTTAACTACTAACTCTTAGCCTCATCAAGGCCTACCCATTTATTTTAATGAACTCCAATAAAGCTTATCTCTAACTAAAATCTCAGCTCCTCTAACATTTCTAAATGCCTCAAAGTTTGTGTCTCACGCGGGCGGGGTGACAGCGATGTACTCACTGCGGCACAGCCTGGGCACCGCGGACCACGTGAAGTTCTGGAGACAAGTGATGGTCGGGGACACTCCGGGGATCGGGGAGAAGCCGGCTCTGCACGAGTAGGACAGCGTGGCCCCGACCGGGAACTCCCGCCGGGGCTGGAAATCGGCGAACTCCACAGGGGGAGGGTGGCGACACTGCCCTGGGGACAGCAGGGGACACAGAGCCTCAGCACTGCCCTGGGGACAGCAGGGACAGCACAGAGCCTCAGCACTGCCCTGGGGACAGCAGGGGACACAGAGCAAGGACAGCACAGAGCCTCAACACTGCCCCAGTGACAAAGCAGGGGACAAACAGACCCTCAGCATGGGGAGCTTTTTTTCCTTGGTGGAAAACTTCAAAAATAAGTGAGGGACAGCAGCACCCCTGAGCTTGGCTGTAGGGGTGAAGAGAAAGGGAAAAACAGTGAGGAAAATTCACCAGAGAATGTGAACTGAGTGTGAATCTTCCCTCTCGTGTGCTTTGGTACCTCGTGGGTGTCCCCTGCAGGAAGGGACAGCCCTGCCACGCTCCCCAGGGTGATCCCAGAGGGAATTCACAGAATCACTGGGTTGGAAGAGACCTTCAAGATTATTGAATCCAGCCCAGCCCAACACCTCTACTGAACCCTGGCCCCCAGTGCCACATCCAGGCTTTGTTAAACACACCCAGGGGATGGTGACTGCACCACCTCCCCGAGCAGCCATTCCAGAACTTTATCTATAAAAAACTTCTGTAAAAACTTTTCCTTTCTGTAAAAAATATCTTCCTAACATCCACCCTATATTTCCCTTGGGGCAGCTTGAATCCCACCAGCCAGCAACACTCTTGGTGATGCCCACCCTCCAACCCCCTGGGACAGAGTGAAAATTTTCCAGAGTAGAAATCCATGTTGGTTTAGGTGAAATGCACATCTTTGAATTAAGTCTGTAGCTTGCAAACACAGCTGTTTAGTCTGTCTGTTCTCGCAAAACGCCTTTGCTTGGAGAAACTGCTTCAGCCAAAAGACAGAGATGAGGGAGGGCCCCTTAAACTCTGAAATAGATGGAAATGATGCTGCAGGAGCCAAGGCAGGATGACCTAGAAGTTCTTTCTGATAAAAAAAATTAGCAGCAAATATAATGCGAAATCAGTAAAATAAATATGTATGAACCTATTGTGCAATTGCATGTACATGTACTAGAGAGGGAGATAAGAAAGGATCTGGAGTTCCCAGAGGCACGCATGTCATTTTAAAGAGAACTGTCCCTGTCAGAACCCAGGACACCCCTCTGGGTGCCCCTGGCAGGGGGCTGGGGAGTCCTGGCAGGAAGCCAAAGACACTTGGGAATTCCATCTTAACCCATGGAGCAAATGACCAACCTTGTATGAAGAACCACAAGTTACAGAAGTTTAAGTAGAGTAATAGTGAATTAATCACCGGGTGAAAAATGGAGTTTTGGGGATTTTACTATAGGGGGTCTAGGAGGCAAGATGGAGGGATCTGGGTGTTGTTGTGTTCTTCTTCCTTGCCTCCATCTTCTGGGTGATGGTGGCACATTTGGATTTAGAATAGAAGTTTAGAATAGAAGTAGACAGTCTAACATAGGTGATAGATATTGGAAAATAATGATAAATAAAGCACACGTAGTTCATAGTATAAAATGCAGACACCAGCCCAGGGGTGGGCAGTGTGCCCTTGACAGACCTGCAGACCAGACCCCTGCAGATCTGAGAAAAAAATACTTTAGATAATCAACAATAAACAACTTTGTGAACCAGAGCTGAAGAATCCCGACCCTTTCTTTGACCATCGGGCTGGGAAAAAGGGACTCTCAGGTCATCTTGGACACAGGAAACCCGAGAGATCCCCACACGCCTCCAGCGCTGTAATAAAGCACCGGCTTTACAACTTTCCCAAAAGTTGCGGAATTTGTTTGCTTCCGCAGATCACCCCCTCCACGTGCTGTTGGGGGAATGGGAGCAGCCGCCTGCAGGTGGCAGAGGCCAGCAGGGGGGTGTGAGCTCACCTGGGACGCAGGAGGGCACCCGTGGGTACCAGCGGCCGCTGGGCGTGCAGCGGGCCGTGGTGGCAGTGCCCACGAAGCCGGGGTCGCACTGCAGCGTGGCCGTGCTGCCATAGGTGAAGTTGTCTGCAGAGCTCAGCTGCCCGTGTGCAATGGAAGGGATGGGACACCGAGCCTCTGTGGATCACCAAAAAAAAAAAAAAAAAGGGGGGGTTTTAGGGGTGTTTTTGCAATGCCACCATGGTGAGCAAGTGTCACGGCAGCTCTGCCTGGGGGGCACAGGAGACGTGGCACTGTTGGGTCAGGGACAGAAGTGAAGGTGACACAAACTCTGACTCTCTTCAGCAGATTAATAACAAGTTTGTTAGGAAGCCATTCCTTTTTATCACTGCTCTGACACAGGTGGACCTGATTGGTCATTTAATCAACACCCCGTCACCATTGGCTAATTAAGGAAACACTCTTTGGTAAACACCTAATGAGAAAACAACTGCTCAAAACATCAGCTGCAAGATTGTTTCAGTTCTTTCTTTCAGCCTTCTCAAAACTGCCCGGGACAATTCCTGGGAAAGTTTATCTGGCTTTCCTCTCTCTGACCAGGCTGTCAATACCCACAGAGACAGAGCTGTGTAGTGATTGCAGCAACTGAGGCAGGGGTTTGGGAGTTGACAAACATCCTGAGCAGCCTTCAGTAGGACCCCAAACCTGGAGGGTTTCCTTTCCACACAATCAAAATCTTCCCTGCCCTTCCCTTGGACCCTTGCTCAGGCAGGGCACAAGTGACTCAGCTCAGGTGGGTGACTCCAGGTGCAACAGCCTGACAGAAAAAAAAAAAATTAGGCTCTACAACAACTGCATGGCGTCTGTCACACCTGCACATCACCAGTGTCCCCACGAAAAACTCCTCTTTCCATGTCTCCCATGAGAAGTATTTGTGGGCTTATCACAAATAACAGAGAAAACGAAACTCCAGCAGCTCTAACTCGGGTTTCTTCATGCCTGGCAGGTCACCAAGACAGAGTTAAAAACATGTCAGAACATCCTGGTCCACATCCAGGTGCTGCAGCATCCCACACCTGCCCTGTGCCAGGGCAGTGCCACCCATGCTGCCTTTGGTGCCATCCCCATGGAGAATATCTTGGAAAATATCTTGATTGTGTCTCCTCCACATTAATTATTGGCACCTCATTAGCAATGTATAGCTTTGGGAAATGGGCTGAGAAGCATCAGGAACTAAAAGCAATAAATATTAAGAAAAAAAGCAGTGTGCACAGGCAGTGCTGGTGCAGGGCTGTGCACCCTGGAGAAGTTTCTGGAAAGGTTTGGGTTTAACTGAATCCCCAACTTCCAGAAAGAAATTGCTGCTTATTCCCCTTCCCAGAGACATTCAGCACTCAGCAGATTTCCACTTCTCCAGTTCTGAGGTCAGCCTGGGGGATGCCGGGCCATGCCCCAGCTGCCTTGGGCAGCTCTGGAGGCTGCCCCAGGGCTGAGGCATCCAGAATCATCAGAGAATCAGGGAAGGGACATTATGGAAGGGACATTAGAGTTGGAATTCAAGGGATATAAAAGCTGGAATGGAAGGGACATTAAAGTTGGAATGGAAGGGATACAAAAATTGGAATGGAAGGGACATTAAACCCCATCCTGGGCAGGGACACCTCCCACTGTCCCAGGCTGCTCCCAGCCCTGTCCAGCTTGGCCTTGGACACTTCCAGGGATCCAGGGGCAGCCCCAGCTGCTCTGAACACCTGTGCCAGGGCCTGCCCACCCTCCCAGGGAACAAGTCCTTCTTAACACCCACTCTAACCCTGCCCTAATTCACCCTAAACCCATTCCCCTTTCCCTGCCAGGCCATCCCTGGTGCAAAGCCCCTCTCCAGCCTTCCAGGAGCCCCTTCAGGCACTGAAGGCTCTACCAGCTCTTCCCAAAGCCCCTGTGAAAGGAAAGCAGAACCCCAGAAGCCAAGGAGGGAGGGGGGGACACTCACCCTGAGTCCCCGTGGGCTGCAGCCCCAGAAGCAGCACTGCCAGGAGCTGCCCTGGCCCCAGGAGCCCGGGCATGGTGTAGGCTGGGAAGGAGAGATCCTCTCCCCTGAGAGCCTGCCAGGGAAGGGGAAGCAGCAGTGGGAAGTTGGGGACGGGGACACGCCGCTGACACCACCCCCAGCCTGGGGTGTGCGTGCAGGGGATGTGCTCTGGGCACAGGGGGAGTGAAGGTGGTTTGCAGCTCACACTGCTCTGCAGCAGCCTGGCCTCGTGTCTGAAGCAAGTTTACAGCCAGGGCTGCTGTGGAAACATCCCCCAATTGCACTCATGGAACAGCACCTAACTGAGCTGTTGATTTACATATACTATAAATAAACCTATTTGTTATAGACACTTTATATATTATTTGTACTGCATACATATTACAAAAATACTTCCCTTTACTACAGTTAGGACAGATTATTAAAACCCAGACAGAGCTGCCTTTACAATTTCAGGTTTATTTTAATCTCTTGTCCCATCACAAGACACGTGGCCTGCACAGTGCTTCTCCTTCTCTGGATGGTGCAGGAAAAAAAGTTCAAAACCATTCATTTCTTTCTGTACACTGTTGTTTGTCCTTGTGGCACACACGGAGATGTGGCACTTCCATCCTGCTTGGGAGGAATACCTGGCATTTTTGCTTTGCTAGGACAGAGGCTTTGAAGTTTTCTTGGTGATAAGAAAAGTAATTAGGCAGTGAAGGGATTGTTCCCATTAATGAGTGCAGCCTGAACTGGGCAGCACTGGGATGGACTGGAGAGGTGCAGCAGCTGCAGTGAGTGGCTCTCACCACGTTCATGCCTGTTTCTACCACCAAAATTCACTTTCCACTCAGTTCCTTCCTATCTGTGCACTGCCACTGTAGCAAACAGATCTAAATGTGAAGCTTTGAAAGGTAAAGTGATCCACAAACTGAACCTGGTGAGCTCTAAAATCTGACTCACAAGTCATTGACTCCTTATGTGACCAAATCCATGGCCAATTGTTATATTTTGTCCTGGCTACTTCAGCATCAGCACAAATTACAAAGTGATAAAAATCCTCAGTCAGCATCATGATCCAACACTCAGAGGATGGTTCTTACAGTCCCAGTGCCACCAGTCAGCTGTAGGTGGTGATTTTCAGCTCCTTTTCAAGTTTCTGGATCTCCAGGAGGAGTTTCTGGATTTCCAGCTGGGTTTTCAGATCCGACAGAGGAATTCCACACTGGAAAGCTGCTTTGTTTCGAAGAACCCTCTCACACACCTCACTTTTCCTCTTAAAAAGAACCAAAACAAAAGGCAGAGTGAGACTCCAGCGCAGGGTGACAAAGCAACTACCCTCATGAAGCTGGACCAAAGCTATTCCAGGCTACAAATGGGGCAAGAAACAGGAAAAACGGGGCATGAAACAGGAAAAACGGGGCAAGACACGGGAAAAATGGGGCAAGAAATGGGAAAAATGGGGCATGAAACAGGAAAAATGGGGCATGAAACAGGAAAAATGGGGCAAGACACGGGAAAAATGGGGCAAGACACGGGAAAAATGGGGCATGAAACAGGAAAAACGGGGCAAGAAACAGGAAAAATGGGGCAGCTGGTGGTACTTACACACATGGGTGGTGGTGTCCAGGTGCCATCAGCTGAGCAGGTGGTTCTGGAAGGTGCCCTGGCGTGCCCATCACGTTTGCAGTAGAAGGGCACAGTTTCATTCACCTCATACCACAGCTTGTTGAAGTGAACCACCACGTCCTCCTTCCTCGGGAGGCTGGGGCACCGAACTGAGGGGGAAACACACACACAAAAAACCCAATAATGGGAGGAGATGGAGGAGAAGACACCCTGCAAACTCTCCCTGTGACCCAGCAGGGCAGGGCTGTGCAGGGCAGGGCTGGCACTCACCTGGCTGGCAGGTGGGCACGGGCGGGTCCCAGGTGCCATCAGCCTGGCACTGGCTCTGGGCAGCACCACGCAGCCCGAAGCCTTCCTCACAGGAGAAGCGCAGGAGCAGCCCGTAGGGAAAGGTGAACATCTGTGGGGTCATCCTTCCCCTCTCCACCACGGGCTTGGGGCACCGAACCACTGCGGGACAGAGCAGAGCTGGCACTGGGGGCTGGGGACAGCAGAACCCGGGCAGGGCTGCTCCTCCCGACCCCCGATGGCCCCCATGAGGAGAACCAGCGTCTGGCACTTCCACAGGGATCACATCCTGTAGCCCCACATTTCTCTTCACAGAGAAAAGCAAGGCCCAATTCTTCCCAAGAATATTTCTAGATTTCACATTCTCTGAACATCAGAGAAAGAAAATTATTTATATTTTTTATTTTATTTTTTTAATTATTTATATATTTTATGAAAAATCCTTTGCTAGGATTTTTCCCCTATTCTAGCTGAGAAGCCTCAGGAAAGAAATGTAAACAATAACTCTGTGCTGCTGTGGAATGCAACAGGTGCAGCTGTGATTGGTGCATGTTGGTTGTTTCTACTTAACAATTAAGCAAAGATGCAGCTGGCTCGGACTCTCTGAGAGTCACGAGCTTTTGTTATCCATTCCTCTCCTGTTCTTTCTAGCCTTCTGATAGATTCTTTTCTGTCTATTCTTTTAGTATAGTTTTTTGTATATAATTTTAATATAATTTTAATAATTTAATATAATTAACAATTATATATTAATATTATATAATTATTTATTATAAATGTAATTTATTTTAAATTTAATATAATTTTTTATATATCATAATATAATAAATCAGCCTTCTGAAACATGGAGTCAAGATTCTCGTCTCTTCCCTTGTCCCGGGAGCCTCCGTAAGTTCAACCATAAGAAAACAAAATTATTATCATCTGCTGTGCCTGTGTTTGTGCAAAAGTAGCATGCAATATGGAGATTGTTTACCCAAAGTGACGGTGTTCTGTTTCCTTGGCCTAGCAGGGCCAAGAGTGTGTGTGTGTGGGGACTGTTGGGTGACAGTCACGAGATTCAGTGCAGCGTGAGCAGCTGCGTGCAGGGCTGAGTGCTTGGCAGGTTCAGTTTCAGATGTATAGAATAATATAATAAAGTAATTAATTAGCCTTTTGATAAGATGGAGTCCTCCTCATCATTCTGCCTCCCCCTCATCGGGGTTTCCCAGCACAGCTGTAATCTCCCCTCCTGTGGGGAAGCAGCATCTGCAAGCAGCCCTGCTTGCTTGAACCTCGTTTTTCTGAGTGCTGGCACTGTCCCCAGGGCCTGATGCCATGCCCTGATGCCGAGGTGAACACCTCATGTGTGGAGACACAAGGCTTGATTCCATTTTCTCAGGAGGCTGATTTATTATGTTATATATGATACTAAAATGCTACATAAAAACTATACTAAAAGAACAGAGAGAAAAGATGATCAGAAGGCTACACAGAACAAGAACAGAATAGAATGCATAACAAAAATCCTGTGACTGCTCACAGCCTCAGGTGGCTGTGATGGGTCATCAATTGAAAACAATCCACGTGGACCAATGGAAGATGCACCTGTTGCATTCCACAGCAGCAGAGAGTTATTGTTTACATTTCTTTCCTGGGGCTCCCAGCTCCTCAGGAGGGAAAAATCCTAGGAAAGGATTTTTAATACAATATCATAGCTACACCCTGATGCCACGGTGACCCCAAAGCACTCACCCCTGCACTCCGGGGCAGGCCCACTCCAGCTCAGGCTCCTGCCATCGTCTGAGGTGCAGTAGAGGGACTCGTCCCCCACCAGGGACAGCCCCTCCGCACAGCTGTAGGTCACCTTGGTGCCATAGGAGAACTCCTTGCCATCTCTGCCAGAGTGCTGCCCAAAGGGGATTTGTGGAGGGGGCCCACAGACTGCGGGAAAAAGGGAATTGAGGAAGAAAGACACGTGCAGTGCAGTTATCACTTCAGGCGAGAGCCAAAAGCGTTTCTGTGAAATCAGCACAAAGTTCATTTCATGGTTGGTGTGAGGCAAATTCACAAGGAGCTGCTGCCTGGATTCTGGCCGCTTACAGCAGCTCAGGGCCACAGAAATATCAGAATATTTCCAGTGGTGGCCTCCCCAGTCCTGAAGTGTTCAAGAGACACATGGATGTGGCGCTGGTGGGATTCACTCAAAGCGTGCACCTGATGATGTTGGAGGTATTTTCCAACCTTAATGATTCTAACTGCAGCTCTGGGAGGGGACACCTTGCTGAGGTTGTGTCCTCAGGAGCAGGTGCTGCAGGCAGGTCACCCACTGGTGGCAGGAGATCTGTTGTCCCCTGTGTGTCACACGTACCTTTGTCACAGAAGGGCACCTCGGGCTTCCAGCTCAGATCAACGCCACAGGTGATGGACTCGGAGCCCCTGAGGGCAAAGCCCTCTTCACAGGCCAGCCTCACCTGGGCCCCCACTGTGTAGTCACTGCTGCTTTTATAAACCTCCTTTCCATGAGGGATGTCTGGCTTTGGGCAATGTGGTTCTAGAAAAAATGGGAAAGAAAGGATGTTGTGTGATTCCAAAGAGAACTCCAGTCATGTTTTCTATGGAGAACAGCTACCAACAAATCTGAGCCGTGGCAGAAAGTGACCATCCCCCAGGTGCAGGTCTCAGGCTGCCTCTGTAACCCTGAAGAGTAAGTGCAGGGAGTTCTCCATGCTCTAATGCTCCCTGCCCTGGGAGGTGGAGCAGGTTTTCCCTCCTGCCAAGGTTTTCCTGAGTTTTTGGGGATGTTGCTGTGGTTCTGGGTCAGGAGATGAGCAGTGTCAGCTATTTACTCATTTTCTCCTGAGAGGGGAAATGCCTTGGGAACATCCTCTGCTCCCCAGCCTCATGTCAACAAGGCAGCCCCAAACACAAACCACATCCTCTTCCAGCTGGGTAAATGTCTCCCTAGGTTCCTCAGGAACCTCCCAAGCCTCCAGAAGCTTCCAACACCAGCTCTGCACCCTCCAGACACCAGCTCAGCCCTGCCAAAACCCTGCCCTTTTTCCACGGAGCCCATCTGGACCTTTTGCTGCCTGTATATTCCACATTAACCCAGGAGAAATAAACCTGGGGCCACCTGGAGTGGGGGAAAATTCTCCATGGCTTCTGTCACGCTCATCCCTCCACTCTGTCCCACCTGGAATGCACTCTGGCACTGTTGGATCCCATCCACCATCATTGCCACAGCGGAGGGTGACGCTGCTGCCACGGCCTTTGAAAGCAAATCCTTCATTGCACGCCACCTCCAGCCTGTCCCCGCTCTCATAAACCTCCTTCACTTGCCACAGGTGCAAGGGCCTGCCATTTGGGATGTGTGGATCTGGGCAAGGAATTCCTGGGAAATGCCAAACATCAGCGAGGGTGAAACCACAGCAAAGCCAAGTGGGTGACAGGAAAGTTGTTGAGAAGACAAGGACGGATGGACAGACACATCAGGGCATTAAATATGCCCCAAAAGCATTCCTGGGCTTTCCTGGGGGGTGGAATGTTGGTGGTGCACCCTCAAGACCCCAGTGGGTGTTTTCCAGAGGTTCAAGGGGCTGTAAAGCAGAGCTGGCAAATAAAGCAAAGCCAACTCTGCAGCTGGGGAATAAATCAAAGGAATTCCAGGGTCAGCAAAGACCAAGCTGGGCCCTGGAGCATCCCCCTGTCCCCCAGGCTGTCCCCACCCCACGTGCAGCTCCTTCACATGTTCTGGCAGTCACAAGCAAGCCCAGGCACTCACTTTCACATGGAGCTGGGGCTTCGCTCCACACAAAGTCCTGCAGGCAGCTGATGTTCCAGGTGGTTTTCCCTGCTCTGAACTGGTGGCCCTGCTGGCACTCGTAGGTGACCACAGTGCCCACGGGGAATAGATTGCCAGCCAGCCTGGTTTTCATGGCATTCCTCACATCTGGGGGGTCATCACAGCTGCCTGGGGGTGAGACAGCAGTTTAGGGACAGTGCTGCATCACAGGGCCTGGCACAGAGGGAATTTGGGTGAAAACCACAGGCTCCCATTGTTCATTCTGAGATTCATTGAATCATCCAGGTTCGGGAAGGGGAAAGAGGGAATGCAAAAGAGATAAATTAAGATATACAGATATTTTTTTTCCCCCTGGAGAGAGACTTTTCACAAGGACATGGGCTGACAGGACAAGGGGGAAGGGCTTTAAGATGAAGGAGGTTGGGTTTAGATCAGATATTGGGAAGAAATTCTTCCCTTTGAGGGTGATGCCCAGAAAAGCTGTGGCTGCCCCAACCCTGGAAGTGTCCAAGGAGAGGCTGGACAGGGCATGGAGCAACCTGGGCTAGTGAGAGGTGTCCCTGCCCATGGCAGGAGGTGGGTGGGATGGCCTTTAAGGTCTCTCCCAACCCAAACCATCCCAGGACTGCAAGTTTGTACCCCACGGCGATTTTCACTGTTATAACAATCTGTCATTTCCAATCAAGCCGACACTCCCTGAGCATGGGGGGTCCCAGGGGTGCTGTCCCTGACACTCACTGCGCTGGCACAGGGGCAGGGGGGGCTCCCAGAGGCCGCTGTCCCTGCAGGTGGAGGCCGGGCTGCCGCTGAGGCTGTAGAGGAGGTCACAGTCGAACACCACCGTGTCCCCAAAGCTGTAGTCAGGCTGGTACCTGCTCAGCAGCTTCCCATTCTCCACTCTTGGCTGCTTGCAGGTCACCACTGTGCCAGGGGAAGCACACAGGGAAGGAGCAGTTAGGCTCCAGCTAGGAGATATGAGGGTTATGGCATTGCACCAGATTGCAAGGCAGGATGTATTCTATTTGCCATCTGTCAGAGGTGGGGCAGTGGTCTTCTGTTAATTGGGCAGGTTTTCTTAATCTCTTCCACAACCAATCCTCCCTCCAGAGAGACGTCTGCTGATAACAGGCTATTGAATATCACTGCATGACTGATAAAAATTACAGAATCCCATTGGGAGATGTGAGCCCAGGGGAGGAGCCAAGCATTCCTACCTGGATAGAAACTGAGATTCTGGAACACCAGCACGGCTTCTCCACTGGATTTCCCAGAGGAACAGCAGCTGCCTCTTCCACTGGATCTTCAGAGGAAGACTCCACCCTTCTACAGGATCCCTGCTCCAGCAGAACCACCCCTGGCACTGCAGGAGGGCTGCAGCCACAATTCCAATGGGACTGCTGCCAACACCCTGACCCACAGGGTGTCAGGTGTGTTCTGACTCTGTCAGTGTTGTTTTAATTTACTGCATTGTTTATTTTTTTCCCCTAACAAATAACTGTTGTTCTTGCTCCCATATTTTTGCCAGAGAGCCCTTAATTTCAAATTTATAACAATTTGGAGGGAGGGGGTTTCCATTTTCCATTTCAGGGGAGGCTCCTGCCTTCCTTAGCACACGCCTGGCTTTCCAAACTGAGATATATGGGATATGAGGGTTTTGAAAAAGCCCCCATCACCTTTTCCAGAAGGGCTGAAAAGGGCCAGGGCAGCAGCAGGGTGGTGTGGTGCTTTTGTACATCTTGCCCCATGTTACAGCACGGGTTTTTGAGGCAAAGCCTAAAGAGAACCCAGGGGAGCAGGTTTGGGAATTCTTTGCAGCTGTTCTGTTTCACAGCAGGGAGAGGGATCCCCTGCCCTGTGAGCACAGTAAAATCCCACTCCCACCTCCCTGCTGACACCGTGACCGTGAGGGGAGACCCCAGTTCCTGTCACACTCAGGGGGTCCCATCTGCAAGAGGTGATTCCACTCCAGTAGGATGAAGAGGAGAGGAGGTTCCAAGGGAGGAAACAGCAGAGCAGGAGCAGACAGCAGTGCAGGGGATGGTGCTGGGCTGTGGGAGCAGCTCACCTTTGCATTCTGGAGCTGGGCTGCTCCACACACCGTTCAGGTTGTCCCTGCTGGTGCAGAAAATGGAGGCCTCTCCCAGCAGGGAGAAAGGTCTCTGTCCCCTCCTGGTCCTGTGGCACTGGTAGGTGACAGAGTCCCCATACTCAAAATGCTCCTTGTCCATCCCACTGTGCTGCCCATTCTCTATTTCTGGAGGGGGTGCACAGGGAATCGCTGTGGAAGGAGGGGAAGATCATCGTGGGAATGAGAAGAAGAGAAAAAATTAATTGATTAGTTTTAAACCAAAGATCTGGCCAGAAAAAGGTGGAAACAGGAGGTAGCAGAAGGGTCAGAAATCAAAGGCAGATCTTGAGGAGATGCACCAGCCCTAAGCTCTGGCTGGCACTGAGAGGGTTTGGGATATCCCAGGCTCAAATGCAGCTGCTTCACTGCCAGAGAGTGAATGAACATTTCTGCAGGAAGGGAAACACAGATTAAAAATGTCTTTCTAGGCTCCACCATGCCAAAATCCTGAGCAGATGCCAAACTGCAGATGCCACTGAGATGCCAAAATCCTCAGCAGAGCAACACAACAGCCTCTTTACCCAGCCCAGCCACATCCCAGATAGTTAAAGAATAGATAATTAAGGAACTCTGCTTACCCTGACAGGTGGGAATATCTCTGTTCCATGTAAGAACCTCATTTCTGAGCACACATTCAATCTCAGAGTGTCCAATCAGTCTGTACCTGTGTGAAACAGGGGAGAGGGAATTACTCCACAGACTCAGTCCTGATGTGTTACCCACATCACCACCAGCAACGTTTGGGCTCCTTTGTCAGAATTCCAGCAGACCAGAAATTGGTCAGAAAGTGTCACTTTCTCGAGGACACACTGGCTTTTGACAAAAACTTTTTTTTTTTAAATTAAAAAAATTAACATTTCTAAGGAAATGAATAAACTTCATCAACTACTTACAGCTCTGAGCTCAGTATTCACATTTTTCCTTCAAAAGGACACTGGAACATTGGGAATGGTTTGAAAAGAGCCAGGAGGCTGAACCTGAGTTTGGGAAGAACTGCCTCAAAGCAGGAGATTAAGACACTCACAGTCAGTCCTAAAGCTCCCAAAAGAAAGCTTAAAAGGTATTTCAGTCAGGGTCTGCAATTACCTACATGGGGGAGGCCCTGACAGCAAAGGGGGGAAAAAACTTTGGAAAACTGTCTGGAGAGGAAGAAGCCCTGTGGCCCAGGTGCTCCTGGCTTACCCAGTGTTGCAGGTGAAGTTCACTTTGGAACCAAAAGTGAACGCTCCAGGCAGGACCAGTCTGCCATTGGCCGGCTCCCCGGGGTAGCTGCACACCTTGGCTGGGGACAACAGGGCTCCAGTCAGCTCCCAGCTCAGCTTCTTGGCAGGAGAGCCAAAGGGTCGCCCAGTTTTGAGCCAGGGGATGGAGCAGAGTCCTCCAGATGTCCCCTCCAACGCGAGGTTATTGTGTGACTGACGGTGCTGGGCAGACCTGCCTCGTGAGCTGCTGCCCCTGGGGTCTGCAGTGACCTCGGGCAGCGTCTCTTCCCAGCTCAAGGACTCTCCCTCTGCAGCTCCAGTGCTCTTCTAGACACAGGGGCTCAAAATGCCTGAGCAGAAGGACATCCTCTGAGTCAGCAGTGAAGCACAGCCAGCACCAGAGGTGATTTCAGCTCCTGCCATCCCTGCCAGCACCCAGAGGAACAGAGCTGGTGCTTCCCTTCAGGGCACTCATTGCCACCAACCCCAGGGCTCACTTTGGGTTCTGCTCAACAGCAGGAGGTGGCTGCACCAGCAATCAGAACCAAAAGGCACAGAATCACAGAATGGTTGGGGTTGGGAGGGACCCTAGAGGTGATCTTATACCTACCCAAGTGTCACTGTCATATTTTCTCGAAAATCTCTTTGCCCAGGATTCTTCTCCTGGGAAGCTGAGAAGCCTCAGAGAAAAATGAAAACAATAATGATCTGATTTGCTTCTCCTGTGTTTTGCTGCTTTGGAATGTAGTTTGGACATGGTTTACCAACAGTTGGTTGTTTCATTGGTTGCATGTGAATTGTTTTTATTTATTGGCCAATTATGGCCAGCTGTGTCAGGACTCTGAAGGGAGAGTCACGGATTTTCATTGTCATTCTTCGTGACCTTCTGTCTGTATCCTTTCTCAATTCTTTAGTATTCTTTTAGTATAGTTCTAGTATAGCATTCTTTAATATCATATAATATCATAAAATAACAAATTAGTCTTCTGAGAACATGAAGTCAGATTCCTTCCCTCCTCCTCCACCTGGGGACCCCGAAACCACCCCAGCCAAGGGCAGGGACCCCCAAACACACTCACGTGTGCAGATTTCACTCGATCCATGCCACACCCCGTCCACCCCGCAGGTGAGGACGTTTGGAGTGCGAGCATTTCTGCCATAGCCTGGCCTGCAGACAAACTCCATCGTGTAGCCATAGGGGAAGAGCTCGGTGCCCTCCAGCCTCTCCTTGGGCTCTGCTGACGGCGAGCGCGGCGGGGCGGCGCAGCGACCTGGGGACACAGAGCCCGCGTCACCTCGGGGTCTCCTCTTGTCCTTTTCTGGCTGGTGTGGTTGGGAGGATCCCGAGGTGTGTCTCTGTTAAAAGTCTCTTTTCCCCAACCCAGCAGCTGAAGAAGGAGTCCAGAAGTCTTCGGTTCACGTTCTCGAGTTTGTTTATTATTTCTTTGTCTCAAACATTTTCTGTCTGGCCTGCCAAGGTCTGTTCTGCAGGTCGGTCTGAGGCACACACTCCCACCTCTCAGGCTGGTGCTATCTTTTATACTAAAAACTATGTATACTGTGTTTACAATCATGTTCCAGTACCTATCACCTATGCTAGACAGTGACTTTCTACTCTAAACCAATCTGTGAGTGCCAACATCATCCTGGACATGGATGCCAGGGAAAAGAAATAAGAAGGACAGGGCACGCCCAAATCCCTCCATCTTGGACCCCTGACCCCCACGTACAGAATCCCTGACCCCCCTGTACAAGGTTCTAAACCCCCCTGTACAGTGCTCCAAAATTTTTCCTTTCACCCTGTGATTGCTACTGCTATGCTACTTAAACTTTTGTGACCTGTAATTCTTCATATAAAGTTGGCAATTTGCTCCATGGGTTGAGATCGAATTCCCAGGTGTCTTTGGCTTCCTGCCAGGGTCTCCCAGCCCCTGCCAGGGCTTTGAGCCACCCAGGGCATCCAGAGAGATGTCCTGGGTTCCAACAGTGTCACCACTGCTCTGCTTGGGAAGGGGAGACATTTAGAGCAGTGATGGAAAGTTTTCTGTGTAACTGACAGTTTCCTGAACTACTGCAAAGTTAGACATGCTTTGGTGAAACGCACATGGTAGAGATACAAAAATGTCACTGTGACATATTTTATGAAAATCCTTTCAATAGGATTTTCTCTGAGAAGCTGAGGAGCCTCAGGAAAGAAATGTAAACAATAACTCTGTGCTGCTGTGGAATGCAACAGGTGCAGCTGTGATTGGTGCATATGAAGACATTAAAGTTAGTAAAGAAGAAGTTAAGTAAGTTAAGATACATACTGTAATATTGGCTTTTCACAGATATGAAAATGGATTTATATGTGTAATGTCAAAGTAACTTTATTATAAAGATATGTTTTTTGTTAATGTTGTTAATTAAGCTTAGACATAGTAGTGAAATAGCTGATATAAATGTGCCACACCCATCAGAAAGGTGCTGCCAGCAAAGCCAGGGGGGGTTCAGGCCAGATTCACCCCAGAGCTCCAGGGGAGGACCCCTCAGTGCCCCAAAAACTCCTCAAACAAAGAGAAGTGCAGCCTGTGGCTGGCAGGGATCTGAACCTCCAGTCCTGCTCCCCACAGATTCAAAGGCTGGACACAGAGTCCAGATGAAGCTTTTCTAAAGTCCAGATGGAGCATTTCTTCTCCCCACTTAGCATAAATTATTGCACTTTTCCAGCTAAAATAGTTTTGTACTTGCTTCCCACAGAAAGGGGGGGGAAAAGGCAAAGGAAGATCCGATCACAAAGATTTACAGAGCCCTGGAAATGCACAGGCAGTGAGGAAAACAGAAGGATCCAAGCCTGGTAAAACCCAGGAGAAGGTTTTCCTCCAGGGGGTCTTGGTTCATCCTGGTGGACTCGTTCACTTACTGTGGACAGTGGCAAGGAGAGCAGCAGTGAGGAGTGACCCAAGGACAGCTGCACAGCTCCTCTGCCTCCCCAGCTCCACAGCTGACATGTTTATCCCTGCTTGGAGGTCCCACAGATGTCACCACACTCCCTTCCTGGGCCAGTATCTGTGAAGACAGCAGAGGGATATTTGGGGGTATTTATACTCAGCTCTATGCACAGGTCTGATTTCTGCATCCCTGAGCAGTTCCTACAGTCACAGGAGAGGAGCAGAAGGAGCAGGAGCTGAATTTATTTTCTCGAAACTTAGGAGTAAAACACTTTAGTTGTAGTAATAAATCTCTTGGAAGGAAATTCCTAGTCAGGAGAAATCCTGCTGGGGTCACCAGAAGAGTTCCCTAACAATGAGTCACCCTCAGGGAGAGAGAGAAGTATCCAAGCAAAAAGTTCCATGTCTGTGCAAAAATTCTCTGAATAAAGGGAATATTTCAAGCTGTAAAGCAAACTGCTTTACAAAATGGAATTTAAGTGCAATTTGCACTCACCTGGCACCCTTAGGGAGCTGGAAGAGCCCTCTCTGTGATATCCAGGGTCATCCATAAGCCTGAACCCTCCCAAAGCTCCAGAATCTCCCAGTGCCTCCTGAGAATGAGGGTCCCCCTCGCTGCTCCCTGCCCTGACCCCCATGCCTGCTTCCCTCCTCTGCCTTTCTTTCAGCCCTTCTCACACCTCCTGCTTTAATCTGGTTTAATTTCCTGACCTGGGTGCTCCCTGCCCTGACCCCAACACCTCCCATGCCTGCTTCCCTCCTCTGCCTTTCTCTCAGCCCTTGTCACACCTCCTGCTTTAATCTGGTTTAATTTCCTGGCCTGGGCTCCTGCTGGAGCTGCACAGGAGCTCCAGCCCAGCTCCCAGGAGCAGCCCTTGGAGCTGCCAGGCTGGGATTTGTCTTACCTGGAGCTGTGGAGGCAGGAGATGGAGAGCCCTGGTGTGTTCAGCACTCACAGGATGGAGCAGGGACTGCTCTCCTCCAGGCCCCCGGGCAAAGGAGGAGTTTTACAGAGCCCACATGCTCAGATCTGGCCCCACAGAGAGAAACTTCAGTTCTGCAGAAAGCAGAGCTGGCCCGTTGACCCATAAATCATTAACTCCTCCCGAGCAAGAAGGAAGGAGTTTATTCCACCCCCAGAGCAAAACACTACAAAACTGAATGCAACCCAAGCAGATGTTGAAATTGTTTGGTTTTTATGTGTGGAGGTGCCAAGTCTTTGAAATAATCCTTGCTGAGCTGCTTCATTGGGACCTCAGGCTCACTGAGGGGTGTCCTCAGGTGTGGTGTTCATATTTTCTGGAAAAATCCCTTTGCCAGGATTCTTCTCCTGGGAAGCTGAGAAGCCCCAGAGAAAAAGGAAAACAGTATTACCTCATTTGCTTCTCCTGTGTTTTGCTGCTTTGGGACGTGGTTGGAGATTGTTTATCCAGTGTGGTTGGTGATTGTTTCATTGGTTTCATGTAAATTGTTTTTGCATATTGGCCAATTACAGCCAAGCTCTGTCAAGGTTCTGGAAAGAGTCACGACTTTTCATTATTATCTTTTAGCCTTCTGTCAGTATCCTTTCTGTATTCTTCAGTACAGTTTAGTTTAGTATTCATTAATATAATATAGATCATAAAATAATAAATTAGCCTCCTGAGAACACGGAGTCAGATTCATCATTCCTTCATCTGGGAACCCTGCAAATACAAGACTCAGGGGAGCTGCTTCACCCCAGGGCAAGGCCACCCTGAGTTCATCCCCTGTGGCCTCAGGAAGCCATGGCCAGCATTCCAAAAGGGGTTTCTGCAGCCAGCCCCACCCAAGCCATGGGAGCAGCCCCAGCTGGAGCTCAGCAGCTCACGAGGGCCCGGGAGCACCACTTGGAGCTGAACACGCAGAGAATTCCAGAATTTGCTTGGAAAGGACCTTAAAGCTCAGTTCCACGGAAACCCTGAGATCCTGACCTCCAGGAAAAACACCCTTAAAACTGAGGAGAGAAGGGGAACAGCAGTAGGGTTTAAGAGCTCCCATTTTCAACTCAGATTCCCAAAGCAGAGGACGCCTGCCCACCCCTGCAGCCCCTCTTCCTCCAAACACATCCCAGAGACTCCCCGAGCTCCTCAGAAAACCAGCACACAGTGGAGAGTTAGAGCAAACAATGGAAAAGAACAGAGGGCATTATCTGTGTTTTTTTAAAGTCTCTTTATTGTAAATAAACACTGACAGAGATTTATGCTCAAGTGCACAGAGCACACAACGCACAGCACGAGCTGACAGACACTGCAGCTTTTAAACATTAAAAAAAACACACTTAGAAGGCAGCAGAGCAGGAAAGTTCACAAGCAGCTGGGTAAGATCCCTCTCACCAAACACTCCAGGCAGAGCTGCAGTGCAAACAGAGCAGGGGGACAGCAGGGGGACAAGCAGGGGTGGCACTGGCACTGCTCACCCAGAGCCCTCAGAGGGGCACGGGGTGAGGCTTGGGGACACCCCAGGGTGGCTCTGGCCAGGCTGGTGCTGGTGCCTCTCCTCCCTCAGTTCCCCCTTGGCAGCCAGGCCAGGCTGGGTTTGAGTGTCACCCACCCCAGCTGCTGGGAAGGGGACACCAGGCAGAGGTGACAGCTCTGAGGTCACAGCCAGGGTACACAGACCAGTCAGCCAGGCTGGGTTGAACTCTTGTCCCCCATTTTGCAGTTTTTCCCAGAGATGGAGCAGTTTTTAGCTTCTTTTTCTCTGCAGTGACACACAGGGGCAGGCAGGTCCCACTGGAGGGGACAGCAGCCAGCTCCACCTGTGCTGCTTGGAACGGGAGCACAGAAAGTCAGGGGGTCACAAAACCCCTCCAGTGCTGGGGAAATGCTCAGGAAGGTGCCAGGCTCACATCCACACCTCCAAATCTACCTCCAAACCCACCTCTGATCCCACTGACAGCACGAGCTGGGCATGTGGAGGTGAGTTTGGAGGTGGATTTGGAGGTGTGGAGGTGGGTTTGGAGGTGTGGAGGTGAATTTGGAGGTGTGGAGGTGGATTTGGAGGTGGGGTTGGAGGTGGGTTTGGACGTTTGGAGGTGGATTTGGAGGTTTGGAGGTGGATTTGGAGGTGTGGATGTGAGCCTGACATCTTCCTGAGCATTTCCCCAGCACTTGGGGGGGGTTTGTGACCCCCTGACTTTCTGTGCTCCCGTTCCAAGCAGCACAGGTGGAGCTGGCTGCTGTCCCCTCCAGTGGGACCTGCCTGCCCCTGTGTGTCCCTGCTGAGCTGTCCCACCAAAACCACCTCAAAACCCCCGGTTGTGCAATGTTTGTTTGTTCTGGGGTGTTTGCACGGCCAGTGCCAAGGAAATCAGGTGGTTTCAAGGAAATCCCTGGCACAGGGAGCTGCCAGGAGATGCCCACTGGCATCACCCCAGCCCTGCAGCCCCGAGGGCTCAGCAGGACCCTCAGGGATCTGCTCCCAAATCTGCTGCTGCTCTGCCCCAGACATCTTTGCTTTAAACCTTCTCAAGGCTAAAATGCAGGAGGAAAAAGCTTTAATTAAAGCACTGAGGCACAAACACTGCAGAGAAGGATTAAATTCCATCCCACAGCCCCAAAAGGGACCCCCAGCCACTGACCCAAACTGCAAAACACCTGATTTTCAGCAGTGATTAAAAAAAACCCTCACAACCACCAACAACACATCAACAGCAACATTCACAAATCCCAGCAGGTAAAAATATATATTTTTGTCTCCTTACAATCATTTACTGCTCAGTGACATGAACTTCATGAACTCTTCAGCAAGTTATCCCAGCATTTTTGTGCGTAAACATCCTACAGTGCATTTTCCACTCCTTTTTCCACAGAGCAGGAGGGGTTTGGTCAGAGCAGCCAGCCTGACAAGGACGGGTTTGTGCGTTCAGAGCACTTTGGAGTGTGGCAGTGAGGACTGCCATAGAAATCTCTTCCTTCAACATTTCTTTTTTTTTTTTTTTTCTAGTTTATTTCTAAGCACAAAAAGATTTAAAACTGAAAACCAGACCTGGGTGGTGAAACCCTGAGGAGAAAAACTATTAAAAACTCAATTTCTCACCACCAAATTTCACCCCTCTGTGGCACAATCGCTTTAGATCAACAGATTTTTCTGCTCCTCAGAAATCCTGAGGGGTCCAGATTTGTGCCTTGGTCCTCTCCATCTCAGTTTTATCAAATTACAGCTCTGGGAGTGTTTAAAACAACCAAGTTTGAGCTCAAAATACCCAAGTTAAACCTCAAGCTCTGGGGTTGCTGAGCTCCTCCACAGCCAGGGCACAGTTTCCCTGCTGTGGGTATATCCAACATTTATTTACACATTTAAAATAAGCAACTTCTGGGGCCCAGAAATGCTCAGAGAAATCCTGGAGTCACCTGGAACAGCAGGTCCAGAACAGCCTCCTGCTCTGTACCAAAATGTTCCTTTCTTCACCCAACCTGAGGGTGCTGCCCTTATTGCAAGAACAGCTGGAGTGGGGTAAAATGGAGTTTGGCAAAATGCAAGTCAAGACTTGTGGGAGAGAACTGAGAATTTGGGGTTTGGTGGGGATTTAAGGGAAGGATTTAAGTTAAGACACAGAGCTGCACCAAACTCTACAACAGCTTAAAACTATGAAAGGCAGCACTGGGAACATTCACAGCTTATTCATAGGCAAGTTAAAAGCTTCCTGTGGGCCTAAAATTTGATGTAAAATAAAACTTTTAAAAATCTTGTGCTTCCTACAAACCATGCCCCTGCTGGTCTCAGCCATGCTCCCATTTTCTGGGGTAAATGGATAAAACACCGGCAAAATGCAGGAAAAATGAGTGAGAGGATGGAGTTTAGGTAGGGAGGAGAAGCTAAAATAGGGCTTGAGGTGGGATTTAAAGCACTGGGAGCTGTGCTGCCTCCAGAGAGGGGCAGGAGGGTTTATTCCCATCTGTCCCTCACAGGAGGCAGCCCGTGGGATGGATGTGCTGACCTGGGTGTCACATCCAAGCAGAAGCCTGGAACGAGCATCCAAGCAAAAAGGAACTGGCTCAGATTGGGGGATTCACACCAGCACTCAAGGAGGGAAAGTCAAGCCCTACCTGGAGCTCCCTGGGTGGCTGAAAACCAGAAAAAAAAATTGAGTTTGAACTTGGAAATAACTTGGAAATGGAGAAATAAAACCTCGGGGGTTTGGCCTGGAAATGCCTTTTCTGAAGGAAAGCTGCCTCAGTGAGCAAAAACATGACTATTTTGTCCTCCCACTGTGGTTAATTTTGGCACCTGGCCAGGAGGAAAGACGTGGGACACTATTCCAACACCCGGCGATGCGCTGGCTTAGGAGCGTTCAAAGCAGCTTGGAAAAATCTCCACAGGAAATCTTCTCCAGCCCCGTGGACAGACATTGCAGCATTTGGAAAGAAAAGACACAGACAGGCTCTAAAATCACAGTTCAAGGCAAGTACTGGCCAGGGTGGCTCACGGCGCCCCAGGGATGCTCCAGTCCCGGAGTCCTGGAATTCCCAGCTGGATCCAAGGGGAAAGCAGGAACCCCTACACTGCTCAAGCGGCCATTCTCTGCAGGGAAGAGAGGAACAGGACAGGTCACAGCAGGGAAGGCAGGACAGGGTAAAGCTGGAGGCAGCTCAGCTCTTGGAGAGGTGAGTCCAGCCCCATGGAACTGCTGCCCATGGCAGGAACCACCTGAGGATTTGCTTCATCCCTTCCACCCCAGAACACCAATGTGGGAAATGGGTGTAGTGGGACCCACGAGGGGTAATTTTAGGTGATTGGCTTTAAGGCATTTACAGCATGGTGTGGCAAAAAGCTGATAAGCCAAAGAATGCTTATAATGTAATTAGGAAATAATTGGCTTCTGATCGTGATGGTGCATTGTCTCACCCTTCTCATGAGACTGAAAATGGAATAAAAGTTTTTAAAACACCCGTCAGTTGCCCCATCTCTGGGTCAGAAAAGGGCACTGTCTGACACACAAAGACCTGTTTCACTCTTTACATCACCCTTCAGCCTCCTGCCAAGCCCCCCTGAAGGGTTTTCCCATCTCAGCCTGAGCCCACACAAGCTCAGGAGGAAGGAGGCAGGTTGGTTACTCAGCGTTGCTCACTTTTATTTACCTTCTCCATGGGGAATCACACTGCCAGAACCACCCAAGAAGCATCACAGTGACCACCTTGCAAATTAACCACAATAAGTACTCAGAGCTTTGACAAAACTCCTTCCTCTGCCTCACTCAGGGCCCAACAGACACCAGGAACACACTCAGACAGTGAAAAACAAAGATAAATCCACGATGCAGTGACTCCTGAGAGCAGCAATGCCACCACACCTTGTCCTGGGACACAGCTGGGACCTGCCCTGCTCAGAGCCATCCCATGTCCCAGTCCAGGGATGGAGCAAGCTGGGCTAAAACCACAATTTGCATTAGCCAGCACAAGCACAAGCCCAGCTGGAGCCCCTGGATCAGCAGGCTCAGCCCCCACTGAGGTCCCCCAGAATGTCAGCACAAGATTCATGGCTTTGTGTTTGCTCAGAGTGGTTTCCATGCAACACAAATCAAGAGAAATCCGACTTACTAACCCCAAAGAGAGCACACCCAAGCTGCTTGCAGTGGTACTCAGAGGCAAGCATTTCCCTCTGGAGGCTGCAAAGGAAACAGAGAAGCACAGCAGGGCTCGTGGTGCATTTTAAAGGAGACTGAAATAGGAAAAGCAGCAAAGCAAATGAGGAGGAGTGAAGCAGCCCCGAAATTCCCTGTTAGCCCAGGGCAGGTTTGTGTCGCAGCAGGAGGTGACAGAAGGCAGGGACAGCACTTGGCTGCAGTAAAAGAGTGGGACAAAGAGGGTATTTGTAATTTTTCCAATCAGGTTTTAGCCCAGAAGCAAAATCCTACCCAGAATTAAACCCCCTGCCAAATCCCTGTGGCACTGATGGAAACCTGCGTGGAGCCCAACTCTGACAGACTGGCACCACAACTCCAGCTGGATGGGGGGGATTTTGGTGTGTTGGGGTTGGTTTTGAAGGGGCTTCCCAGCTGTTTTTTTGTCCTTAATCCAATCCAGGCTGGCTAATTTCCATGCAGAAACAGAGCCCCTGCTCAAGATCCTGGGCAGGGTCTGCATTTCGGAGAGGACCCCGGTGATGGTGGGGAGGGGGAGCAGAGGGAAGGTACCACCTGGACAGTGACTTCCAGCTGTGGCTGCTCAGCCCCTTCTCGAGCTTCCAGGGATGGGAAAGGCCCTCGAGCTTCCAGGGATGGGAGAGGCCCCAGCAGGTGGAGGGGTTTGCTGCCCAGGCTGTGGTGCCGCGGGCGCTTTACGGTGTCGGCGCTGGCCCGCGGGGTAAAGCTGTTCCTCCTCATCCTCACAGGGCTCTGCCTGCTGGGGAGGTCGTGCTGATCCCACACAGAGGGAATCACCAGGAATGAAAAGGGGGAACCACAGTTTAAAGCCACGTCACACACCTCCAGCACCCCACCCTGAGTGACCCCGCATCGGGCTGTGCCTTCCCCAGCCCTGCACCAGCTTGGGAAACAACTTCATCCATTTTGGAGACAACTGGAAAGTCATTTTTCAGCAGTTTTACTTCCCTTTGGGACTTTTGTTTTGCTTAGGTGGCTCTGTATGTTTTTTTATTTTGGTGTTTTTTGTTTTGTTTTTTTTCTCTCTGCACGATCAATTTAGGGGGAAAAAGGAAGAAGCAAATAGAAAACTCTCCATTCTTCCTGTTCCTTCTGCCCCAAAGCAGCTGTGTAACCCAAGCAAAGCAAAGAACAGAAGCAGCCTCCAAGTGGGCAGCAGTGATTTCCATGCAGGGGTCACAGAGAAGTTGGAAAAGTGATAAATCCCAGAGTGGTTTGGGTTGGAAGAACCTTTAAACATCAACTAATCCAACCCCTGGCGAGCAGGGACATGCTGGATCCACACAATTCATGCCCAATGTCCTCAGTTTGGCATCTGGCAGCTCCACAAAGCCTCCAGCCACAGCTGCAGGTTCCCAGTTTCCCCAGTCCCTCAGAATAACCAGATCCCAGCCCAAGGGATCTTCACAAACTACAACAGAAAGCCTAAATGGACAAAACCTAAAATCAGCTGCACTCAGAGCTCCTGTGAGCCAGCAGAGCTGGTCTGTGCTCTCTAATTGGGGGAATTAATTAGAGGCAGTCACTGAGGGTTTCCCTGGCAGTCTCTTTGGAAAACAGGGTTTGCAAATCAAGGCCCTCAGAGGTCAGCAGCTCCCCCAGATTCAGGAGGTGGTCACAAGGTGGATGGTCAACAGCAACTTAAATAATGGCAGAGAGAGGATTTCAGAAAGAGAAAACTTCATCAAGACAAGGAGAAAAATCCACTTTAACCCTTTTACCAAGTTTTTTGAAACTACCAAAAAGCACCAGCAACAAACATTGCATTGAAAACTGAGAACAAGACCTGGAGTTTAAATCTTATGCCCAAAATTTCCCCGTTCTGCTCCCTACAACAGCTCTGAAAAACATCCCCCCTGGCCTGGGAAGCACTAATGCACCTTGAAATTAATTCTGCTTTTGGGTGTTATTTCTGAAGAGAATCCTTCTGCTCAATGAAAGGCACCAGGCAGTTCCAGCAAGTGTTTAAGAGGGTTTGTGACTTACTCTGGAAAAGGTGGAGCCAGAAAACTTATTCACAGGCAAGTCAAAAGCTTGGTGTGGGACTAAAATTTGGTGTAAAATAAAGAAAACTTGGGGTGCAGCAAAACTTACTAAATTGTGAGAGGGTTTTTCCCGGTGGGTGTTCACTGCTTCCACATCCAGGGTAATTGTCTCCACTTTGCAGCCTTCACCCAAGAGAAAGAGAGGTTTATATGAATAATTTATTTAAAAAACAGCAGGGAAATGAACAGGAATAAATTTCTGATTTATAAAAATAACCCAGCTCATAAATCCACAGTTCCCCCCACGGCCAGAATTTTACACTTGGTGGTTTTTAAGTGTGAGAGCACAGCCCTGAGTCCTTTGGGCTGCACAGAAAAGCCAGTTTTAACTGACTGCACCCCAAGTCTGGAGGCACAGCCTTCCTCACCCACAGAGAAAATCCAATTGTTTAAAAGAGAGGCCAGGGGAGAAGACCCTGCACCTCCAGAACCCTTTTCTGTGTTAACCCTTTATATGTTAACCAGGAAATAACCTCTTTATGCATTACCAGAAGCTTCTAGAGCATGGCCAGGTGCTGCCACACACGGACCCAAACGTGCCCCTAACATCCCCACACACAAACCAGGAGAGGAATTAAAACTAAAAAATGAAAATAAAGCAGGTATTTACCATAGGCAACAGGTGTGAGCTTGAGGATGGTGTGGAGGGGGCAGCGCAGGTAGGGCAGCTCATCTAGGACACAGAAAGGTGGTCTGGGGTCACCTGGGATGCCACAGCCCCCCTGCCCCCTCCCCAGCCCCACAGCAGCAGTGGGATGTCCCCACTCCTCACAGAGGGGTTGGACTAAACCCTTTTAAGGGTCCTTTCAACCCAAACCGTGCCAGGATTGCATGGAATTGTCCTGGGAGTGAGAGCCTGGGGATGGCACCCAGACAGTCACTGCTGGCAGCCTGAAAATACAGGAAACCAAAACACAGGAGCTGGAAATGGGAGTGGAGGCCAGGCTGGCTCAGGGCACTGCTGGGTTAGGGGTTGGACTCCAGCCTCCAAAAGGGCTTTTCCAACCCCAATAATTCCATAATTCCATTTCCAGTGCTCAGGGCCAGCCAGAGGAAACCTCACCAGTGGCACATGGCTGGGAAAGCACCTCAGCAACAGCTGCCATGGGCCCACAGGAGACTTATTCTGAGCTGTATGTAAAAGTTCATGAAGTTTGTTAGAAGTTTATTAATGCCATTAAAAGTTTTATGAAGCTCTAGTGCCACTCACTGGAGCTTGCAGCAGACTGGAACCTTCCAGGTGTGTGTGCTGTGCAAGAAATCAGCATTTCCCTGGGGTGGAGCACTCCTGCCAACCCTTCCAGGCCACTGAGGCTCTTTGATTCATCAGAAAATGATGAATTTTTATTTTTCTTTGCATTAAAAACCAGTCCTTTACACATTCTGTAAGCACTGCTGCTGAAAAGAGCTCCAAAACAACATCTGGGCAGCAAAACACATCCCCAGGGAGCTCCCTGCACTGCTGCAGTGCAAGGGTTAAAGCACTGCTGAAACATTTCCTTTCCTCCTTTTTTAAACAGCTTGTTAAAAAAAATACCTTGTTAAAAAAAAAAAAAATTTAAAAAAATCTACACAATCATTCCAAACCACCCTCCCAAAAACCCCGTGAGGGGAAGCAGGGAGAGGAGCCATCCCTTTATTTTTGTACCTGCACTCTTGTCAAGAAAATAAGCCACGAGACACCTCATAACAGCCTGGTGGGAGATAACCAGGACGTTGCCTTGCCTCTCCAGCTCCATAATTACTGGCTCCAGGCGCTGCACCAAGTCCTGGTAGGACTGGAAAACCAAACAGGAATTGGTCAAGGGGTTGTGTAAACACAGGGTTAAACAGAGGTGGCAATTAACAGCGTCACATTCAGGGAAATATCAGTTAAAAGCAGCAGAAAGTTAAAGGAGGTTATGGGTCATGTGGTAAAAATAGTGAAAAAAAAAAAAAAAAAAGACCCAAAAAAAGGCAAGAGCAGAAAGTGAAATTCAGTGTCAGAACCTCAGACCGTGGGAGGGCTCAGAGTACTGGGAACTCAGTGAGTGCAGTCAGGAAAAAACCAAATAAAATAGTAAATGATTCATTTAAACAGGTTGTGAGGTAAAGCCAGCAATGACTCCAGGCCACACCCAGGGTAATTTTGTTCCCCAGATGGTTTCTCAGTGACAATTCAGGCCTGGGATGCAGAAACCCCCTGATGGTGTCTGAGGGCAGCACAGCAAGAGGCCAAATTAATGCATGGAAAAGCATCATCTGCACACCCCAATAAGGGAAATCAAGAAACATTTCCCCCAAAAGAGAACTGGGGATCCTAATGCTTTCATCAGGATGAAAATTTGCAATTGTGCATTCAAATATTGGCAGAATAACCTCAAAGTGAGTCAGTTTTAACTCAATCCCATAAATGTTTGTTTCACTGCATTGTGCGTTGTTGTTTCTTTGGGTCCTCACCTCTCCTCCAGGATAACAATAAAGATATTTCTCCTGATCCCCAGTGAGGGAAATCAAGAAACATTTCCCTCAGAAGAGAACTGGGGATCCTAATGCTTTAATAAGGATGAAAATTTGCAATTTTGCATACAGATATTGGCAGAATAACCTCAATGTGAGTCAGTTTTAACTCCAACCCCACACATAAAAGATTGTTTCATTGCTGTTGTTTTTTAGGGTCCTCACCTCCCCTCCAGGATAACGATAAAGGTATTTCTCCTGATCCCTCATGGCAAACTCTTCTGGATACTTGGCTTCAATTTCTGCATAGGTCATTTCTTCACAGACCCCCTGAGGGAAGGAAAAACTGGTTACCACAAACCTCATTTCATCAGAGGGCAAACAAAGAGGGAAGGAAAAGCAGAGGCTGAGATCAGGGTTCCCTTTATGGCATGGAAATTTTAGGTGTTGCATCTGACCCAGCCCTGCCCCCAGCTGTGGTTCCAGGGTGGTTTGGAGAGGCTGGGCTTTGGTTTTATCTCAGAACTAAAAAGGATGACATCCCTGGTGTTTGCCAGGGATGAAAAATGAGCCCTTGCTTCCCCAGCAACCACCCTGCAATTTCCTGAGAGAATCAGAGTGGGAGCAGCAACCTTTGCCCAGCCAGGAGGGTGTGACAGATGTCTGGGATGTTCAGTGTTCTTTTCCTCCTCCACACCACCTGGAATGTCCCAGCAAGACCTGGCAGCTCTGAACACTCCCAGCCCTCCACCCAACCACCCCAAACCCCATCCTGGAAGGCTGAGGTCTGTGATACAAAAACATGGCTGTAAATCAACTGAAATTGTGGGGGTTTTGTTTGTTTTTCCTACTTTTGTTGGGGTTAAGATTGAAGGCACTTGGGATGACAGTTCATGTTTAGAGTTAGGTGTTTATTGTTCCTTATTAGTGCTACAGCCTTACAGCCATAAGTTCTGTAGTCTTTTATTAGTAAGGTATAAAATAGTAAATTATTTTTTGTTATAAGGTTTTTTAAGGCTAAACTATTTAATTAAGAAATTATACCTAGATTATTTTCCTTTTTAATCCACTAACTGATCTCTCAAAGCCCACAGTGTGGACTTTTCTATTTAATTATAAAATACCACCCAAACCCATGAAGAAGAAGGAAGAAGAAGGTAAAGAAGAACAACCTGTCTCTGCCCTAAAACCTCCATCTTGCTTCATATTTATTACTATATTCTAAAACCCTAAACTCTAAATTTTCCACCCTGTGACATTACCCACTTCTAACCAACTACACACCCATAATCCCCGTACTATTAATCAATTCTGGAAGCCTTCTCCACAGCCCCAGGTTAAATGTAGTGTTCTCTTGTGGGTCCATGCCTTTCAGCACAGAAAGTTTAAAATTCTCAGCTCCAACATAAATCAGCTGGGTTTATGGTGATTAATTTGGCTTTAAACATTACTCCCCACCCAAACCCATGAAGAAGAAGGTAAAGAACAACAACCTGTCTCTGCCCTAAAACCTCCACCTTGCTTCACATTTATTACTATATTCTGAAACCCTAAACTTTAAGTTTTCTACTCTGTGACACTGCACACTTCTGACCAACTCCACACCCACAATCCCAGTGCTATTAATCAGTTCTGGAAGCCTTCTCCACAGCCTCAGGTCAAATGCAGTGCTCTGCACAGAAGGCTGAAAATCCTCAGCATCCAGGATTCCAACATAAATCAAGGTTTATGGGGATTAATTTGGTTTTAAACATTATTCCCCACCTAGAAAAGCTGAGGTTTTTAAGCAGCCTGTCACTCACAGCATCGATCTCGTTGAGGATCTTCCACTGCTCGTAGAGCACCCCCAGGGACTCTGCTGTCTGGATTGTCCTCTTCAGCTGGCTCGTCCACACCTTCAGGTCCACGATCTCCTGCTCCTCAATGAACTTCTTCAGTGCCTGGGAAAACTGGGCAGAAAAACCCCAGGGAGGTTAGGAGTCCCACAACAAGCACAGAACCTGAGAAACACCAAAGCTAAAGCTTAAGGCATCATCTGTATCAAGTAACCACTCCAAGGCACCAGCCCTGGCTCCCACGGCACAGGCAGAGCCCCCAGGGGCTGCTGGGCACACACATACCTGCTTCCCCCTGGCTGAGAGCCCAGAGTCCCCACCAATCCTGCCCACGAGGTTGTACTCGCTCTCCCCGTGCCGGCAGAGGTAGATGGTGCGTGGCTGGACGTGGATGTTCATCAGGTAATAGACAATTTTACTCTGGATGTAGTCCTGCACTCGGTTGACCAGGAACCGCTGGCCCACATTGATCACTTTAATGAAGGAAAGGTCTCTGGAGTGGACATAAAATAAGAACACCCACATGGGTGGTTTGAAAAATGAGGCATGAGCACCCGGGGGTGTCACCCAGCTACTGCTCCTCTAGGAAAGGCTCTGAACTGCTGGGCTTAAAAATCCTTCCCTGGGAAGGTGGGCACAGGGTGGCTGCCCCTGGATCCCTGGAAGTGACCAAGGCCAGGCTGGACAGGGTTTGGAGCAGCCTGGGATAGTGGAAGGTGTCCCTGCCCATGGCTCTTAGGGATGGGCTTTGAGATCCCTTCCAACCCAAACCATCCTGTGATTCTGCAGCACACAGAGAAAAACCCCTTCAAATCTCACTTGGGACCTGTGATTCACCTGCACACAGCCACACCTGGGGAGAGCAGAGGTGTTGGAGCATCCTGACAGCAAAGCAGCTCATGTGCCCAAGGACAAAGGGATTTGCTTACTTGTCATAAGCATCCGGGTCCAGAGGCTGGTAGGTGACCTTGTAGCACTCAATCCTCTTCAGGAAATCGTCCATGACATTCTCCCTGTGCCTCTCTGGGTAGTCAGGGCTGGAAACTTTCACCTCCTGCCCAACAGACATTGTGAGTTAAGCAAACTCAAGAGGGAACAAAAGATGAATAACATTCCCCCCCTTTTGAAACAGATCCGCATTGTTTAACGCTGCCCTGAGGAAAAACCTGCTCCTGGAGAGGAAACAAAGGGCGACTCTTAAGGCGCTGAAGTGGCTGGCCCTGACAGACTCCGCTGGCTCAGAGCTCTGCCCTCCCTCCCTCGCCAGGACAGCGCTCCAAGGTCACCCATTCCCGGCTCCACTCGATTTCCACATTCTCACGTAACGGCATCTCTGGCTTTTAATAAACCTGCAAATCCCAGCTGCTTATTCCACAGGTGAAACGTGAGAGGGAGGCGTTTGCAGAGATTCCCCAGGAGCTCCCTGAGCCCATGACCTTGCAGCAAGAGCCCAAGATGAGCCCGGGAAGGGCAGCACGCACCAGGATATTGGCAGCGATGACCTCTGGATCATCACAGACAGACTCCACGAAAAACACCTAGGGAGGAGGCAAGGAAGCACATTTCAGAGTCAAACTCCTGTGCCAGGGAGCCACAGTGACTGCAAACTAAACACACAGTTAATCACACACACAATTAAAGCACTACCTTGAAAGCATTTTCCTTAGCAAAATTTAAGATCAGGTCCCGGCGCTCCCGAGTCGTGTTGGTCGCATCAAACACCTGGCAGAAAATGAGGAAGGAGCACTGAGCAAGTTTATCTTCAGACTTTTTAAACCCCAAATCAGGTCCCTCAACACTCCAGGCAGCTTTGAACTGCCCTGACATAAGACTATTTTTAGTGCAGAGGATCTTACAGCTATTTGCCCGCACTCCTCCAAGAGATAAGACTTCACATCTTCCAGAGCCACCAGGGCACAGCGTCTGCAGGACAGAAATAGGGATGGTCACAGCTGATGGAAAGCATTCCCACAGCAAAGCTTCTGAGCCAGCAGGGAGGGATTCAAACACCCCTGAATTGCCCTAAGAGCCCCAGAGATCTTGGGGCACCTCCACTGTGACGCGACCCTTGCAGCCCCTGAGCTTTGTGCCAGCCCCAAACTCCCACACAGGATCCCTGCACAGGCTGTGCTGTTCCTTCTCCCTTCCCCAGGGACTCCGGGTTATTTTCTGCTCCTCACACACACAGCCTGCCAAGACAGCAGTGCCCCCAGCCCTGCAGGGACCCACCCAGCCCGTGCCAGGGGCTCACTTGCGGATTTCCATGGCCTCCTTGTTGTCGTGCCTGAAGAAGTCGTAGGACTTGTAGGACTTCACCGCCTCGCGCCGATACACCCCTAAATTAAACACTTCACACAGAGGAGAGGAGAGGGTGAGGGCGTTCCACTGGCAGGTGTCACAGCACGGGGCAGGGATGTCCCCCCACACACACACCCACCTTTGGTGGGCACCCCGATCCAGTTGAGGTAGCGGGTGAGCTTTTTGGACATGTAGGTCTTGCCCCTCGCAGGCAGCCCAATCATCACGATCAGCGTCGGGGAGTTGGTCATGTAAGAAGCCCATGCTGCAGAAAACAACCAACAAAAAACAACCCAAAACCACCCCAAAACAGCATCAGGGGTGCTGCAGAGCATAAAGTGAGACCCAGCACAGCGTCACCCCATCTCCCGGGGATAAAGCACCTCCGTGCATCCCAGGACGGGCTCGCCGTGTGTCCCTGTCGTTAATGAGCGGCTGTGATCACTCCGTGCTCTCCAGGTGTTTGCTAATGAGGCGGACCGGCAGCACCGCTGCCTAATGGGGCTTGCAGTGTTAACAGCACTCACCGCCCGGGCAGCGCCGTCAAGGGCGAACGAAAGATGTTTTTAACAAAACGGTCACGTTCTCCGAGCGAACAGCCCGAGCAAGCTCCCGAAACGCCGGCGGAGGGGCGGATTTGGGGCGAAAAGCACGGGAGGGGGATGGATGCAGCAGCCGGGGGCTGGGGACAGGGGAACGGCGGGAGGGGACAGGCAGCAGGACGGGGACCCGCCAGCTTCGGGGGCAACGCGCGCAGCCCCGTCCCCCTCCCGTTACTGGCTCCGCTTCTCTGCGGGCACGGAGCGCGCCCCCCTCCCTTCAGCACCGCAGCACCGGGGATACTCACAGCACTGCTTCTCGCCGGCCCGGCCCCGCGGGGCCCCGCCGCAGCCCCGCAGCGCCACCGACATGGCTCCGCGCCGCCGCTCCGCGCCCCGCCGCGCGCCGCGCGCCCAGCATGCAAACCGGCGGAGCTCGCGCGCGGCGGAGCGGGGAACGGAAACCGCGTCCGGGCACCGCACACGCGGGAAAAGGGGAGCGGCGGGGCGGGAAAACGGGCCCGCGTCACGCGCGCGGCGGCGCGCGCTGTATGCAGATGAGAGCGGGAGGGAGGGGCAGCCGCGCGCTGTATGCAAATGAGACCGGGAGGGAGGGAGAGCCGCGCGCTGTATGCAAATGAGACCGGGAGGGAGGGAGAGCCGCGTGCTGTATGCAAATGAGACGGGAGGGAGGGAGAGCCGCGCGCTGTATGCAAATGAGACCGGGAGGGAGGGAGAGCCGCGTGCTGTATGTAAATAAACTGGGAGGGCGGGGCAGCCGCGCGTTGTATGCAAATGAAACAGGGAGGGCAGAGCAACCGCGATCTGTATGCAAATGAGAGCGAAAGGGCGGTGGGCGGGCCGAGAGGGGAACGGGAGCACGCGCGCGATGCAAATGAGATGGGACGCACAGAGCTCGCGCCTCTATGCAAATTCAGGCGGGCTATGCAAATCAAATGGGAGGTAATCATCGGGGAAGAGAGGGGACGGGAACTCACGGCGACATCTCGCGTTATGCAAATGAGATAGCAGGAGTTGTCCGGCTGCTTGCAAATTAAGTGGGCGGAGCCACCTCCTACATGCAAATCAGCGTGCTGTACCGATGACACGGGCGCGGCGCCCGGCTCTATGCAAATGAACCGCGCGCTATGCAAATGAGCGGGCGCCGCTCGCGCTCCGCCCCGCCCGCACTCTGATTGGCCGCCCGCTCGGGGGTGGGGGGGGGCGGGATCGGCGTGCTCTCGCGAGAGCGGGGTGGGCACGGCCGGAAGCGGAAGCGGCGGCGGCCGGTGCGGCGGCGGCCCCGAGGATGCTGCGGCTGCGCTGCAAGGCCCGGAGCGGCTCGCACGCGCTGCCGGGGCTGTCGCCGCACTCCCGCCTCCGCGACATGCAGGCCGCGCTCGCCGCGCTCACCGGAGTGCCCGCGCCCGCTCAGCGCCTCCTGCACGGCTTCCCGCCGCGCAGCCTCGACCTCAGCGACGGCGAGCGGCGGCTCGGCGAGCTCGGCATCCACTCGGGTGAGGGCCCCGCGGGGAGGAGGGCGGCGGGCGGCGCTCTGCGGGCTCTGCCGCCCCGCCGGCCGCAACTGCGTTAATTAAAGAGGCCGTGGCACACACGCCCCTCATCAGCCGGCGGTCGGGCCGGTTCCTGCTCCCGGGGGAGGCGTCAGCGCCCGGCTCGGCAGCGCTGCGAGCGCCGCCGGTGCTTTGGCTGCGTCCCGGGGGTGCCGAGGGAGAAGCGCGCGGGGCTGGAGGGGACGGGGTCCGGGCCACGCCAGGTGAGTCCCGCGGGGACCGTTGTGGTGCCAGCGGCTGTTGGCCGGGGCTGTTTCCCGGCGGGATACCGAGCTGGGGGAAACGGGCGGACGGAGCTTGGAGCAGCCATGGCAGGGGTGGGACCGGGTGATGTTTAAGAGCCCAGACCATTCCGTGATTCTCTGCCGTGACCTTCAGCAATGACAGCACGGCCGTGTTGTTGTGTTGGAGGAGCAGCAGCAGCTTTAATTCTCCCCTTTGTGTCCCTCCTCCCCTCTGGCAGGCGACACTCTCATAGTGGAAGAGGACACCTCCAAACCCGAGCCCGGCTCGCCGGTGGTGGCCAAAAAAGCGATGTCCCAGCCTGTGAGGGAAGCCGTGCCTGTGCTGGCCAGGAGGGTGGTGCCAGCAGACAATTCCTGCCTGTTCACCAGCGTGTTCTACGTGGTGGAGGGCGGCGTGTACGACCCGGGCTGCGCCCCGGAGATGCGCAACCTCATCGCCCAGATCGTGGCCAGCGACCCCGAGTCGTACTGCGAGGCCGTGCTGGGCAAAACCAACAGGGAATACTGTGACTGGATCCGCAGGGAGGAGACCTGGGGAGGAGCCATCGAGGTGTCCATCCTCTCCAAGTTCTACCAGTGCGAGATCTGCGTGGTGGACACGCAGACCGTGCGCATCGACCGCTTCGGCGAGGACGCGGGCTACAGCAAGCGCGTGCTGCTGATCTACGACGGCATCCACTACGACCCCCTGGAGCGCCGCCTGCCCGGCTCCGACCTTCCTCCCCAGACCATCTTCCCCGGCAGCGATGACGTGGTGCTGGCCCAGGCGCTGGAGCTGGCGGACGAAGCCCGCAGGAAGAGGCAGTTCACGGACGTGAATCGCTTCGCCCTGCGCTGCATGGTGTGCCAGAAGGGACTGACGGGGCAGCTGGAGGCCAGGGAGCACGCCAGGGAGACTGGACACACCAACTTCGGGGAGGTGTGAGCTCAGCAGCAGTAGGAGGGTGCCATCGACTACCTCAGCGCTCCGGAATCAGATTCTGGAGTCCCAGATAAGCTGTTTGTAATGATAAAATTCCGTTCGCAGAGCTTGAGAAGCGAATTAACTTCATGGTGGCCAACGCGCAGGTTTGGGAGTAGGGGATGGGGAATAGGGATGGCACTTGGGCTGGTGGTGGACAGTGGCAGCCACACCTTGATTTCATCACCTTCTGTGCGTGTGTGTGTGTGTGATCTGAGCAGACAGACACAGCCAGGCTTGTCCAACACTGCTGTAAAATCCACCTCTGAGGTGCTGAATGTACATTTTCAGGGTAACTCAATGAATCTGAGGCTTTGGGAAACACACACGTCAGCATCACGCTGAGAATTGGGCTCTGCACATATGTGCAGCTCTCAGAGGGGAAACTGCTCGTGTGGTGCATGATTGGTAGTGGAAATACCAAATACAATATCAAAATACAGTTTAGTGGAAAAAGGATCTCTGAGCTGCCCTACACCATCAGGAATAGACTGTGTAGTTTGTGTGCAGAGAACTTTAGGGAAAGCAATGGCCTCTAAGCTTTAAGGTAGCCTTTAAATTAATGAGTAGATGGATAAGTGTTGAATAAAACTTATTAATCCTCCGTAGGTAGTTTTTAGTTGCTTGAAAAATAACTCTGAACCCCCTGGTGTTTACACTGCATCAGAGCATAAGCATGTTTCCTGGAATACTTGGGATTCTTCTTCATAATAGCATTGGAATTTCCTGCAAGAGGGAAGTGAGTAGTTAGGGAAGTGACTTAATTTGCATCTGTTAAATACATTGAATATTTTACTTGAGTAGAGCCAATCACGGCCATGGTGTTACTAAGCTGTTCCAGTTTCCAAATACTGTGAATGAGCACTTTAAGGTTGAGTTCTCACTCTTTGCTGGTAAAATGTTTTGCCCTCTGAAGGCCAGAGCCAGAAGGGAGGCTTGAAATTCCATCTGCTTTCTGCCTTAATGTGTTTGATTTGTCACCACTGACTGTGGAGTAGCAAGACTTTCATTGTGATAATGAAATATCACAGCTGAATATTCACATGAAAATAAGCTGGGGAAAGTGCCCCACTCCTTGGACTGTTGAGAATCAGGGAAGGATGAAATTGGTTTAATTGGAATATTTTACCTCACAGTGGGGTTGTGAAGCTTAACAGCAGGTGCTTTTGAGGGCTTTTAAAAGGTGCTGTAAAGGTGCATATTACTGAAGGGGATTTATGTTGTTTTGTTGGTTTTTTTTTTCTTTGAAATGCCTGCAACATATCCTTGTTTCTTGAATTTTAAAATATCCTTTGCCTGCCATTCTTCTGTTGCTGTTTTGAGTGACCTTCCTTGCACTTTTAGACTGGGGAACAAGAAGGGGCATCCTCGGACTGAGGCAGAAATAAACCCACTTTGCACGTGGGTTTAACCTAAAACCCAGTTTGAAAGGGCTCTGTTCCCTCAGGCACCTGACCAAACTGGTGCAGCAACACCACCTTTTCTGCAAAAATCATATTTCTAGTTCTCAGCAGAGACTCCCAGTTGGATCTTGAAATACAGGAGGGTTTTATTGAAGAAAGAACGTAATTACTTAAGTGCTTTGCTGAATTAAGGCATGAATAATTAAACAGCCTAGGATCACCCAGAGCACTGTGGACCTGGGTTTGTTTTTAATTCAGTATTAAAACACACATTAGCACTGCTGGGAGTTCCCTATGGAAAGCCACTCAGCTTCCAGTGTTAAACCCCACTCTGCTTTTAGCCTGTCATTAGGAAAAGAAGATTAAACCCCCCCCAAAACCCAACATTAAACCCAGCCCTGTAGAAGCTGATGCTTAAAAACCTCCAGAAATACCAGACAGTTCAAAGGAACTTGAAGATTACACTGTGTTATAACTACTTGAGCTGAAATACTGGCTAGGAACGAGACCAAGAGACTGGCAAGCCCCAGGTGTGCTCTCAGCTCTGCCAGGGAAGCAGGGACGTGCCTGGGACAAGGAGCTGATCCTCCCCTTTGCCATCTGTCACATGGACACAATACCTACCTCAGAGAGGTGCACCAGGTGTCTTTGAAACACAAGTGGAAGATCCATATTTATTGTCTGCCTTGACTTTGGGGAGCAACCCTTAGATTTTAGCTTTGTGTCCTGGATGGATTTCTCAAAGTGTGTGAAACCTTTTCCTTTTCTTTTTTTTTTTTTCCTGGTATTTCTCAGTTGCAGTATTGGAAAAATGAGCTTTATTTAATCCAGAGTGTTGAGCTTTGCTGGATCATGTTTGCATTGGGAATCTGCTACCAGAGAATCAGTTCCCTTAGAGGGAGACGTGTCACTATCACTGCTTGGATGTTCTCTTTTGTTGCCTAGAAAATAAAATCTCTTTGGATAAAAAAGATACACCTGTAATTCGTGGTTGTAAAACTTGATATTGTTACAGGATGACAAACAACAACTCCTTGATTGCAAGGATTTCTCCTTACTCTTCTAAACTTTCCCAAACAAAAAGTGTTTCCATTATTTAAAACGTAAAGTCTGGATAGATTTAAAGTACAACTATTTTCCTTTTTAAAAAATTCTTATTAGAGTGTTTTTTAGTATGTTTTAACTAGGATTTTCCTGCTCTTAATGACACAGTCACGGAATTATCCCAAAAATGGCATCCTTTTAGTGTTGGGTGAACTCTGAATATCAGAAAGGGATGAGATGAGCTTCAAGGTCATTTCCAAGCCAAACCACTCTGGGATCCTCTGAAA